GTTTTTTAAGTTTGTATATAAAGGACGTCAAAGAACTAAGGTAACTAAACTACCTAAATAAGTTGAATTATTAAAGAATATTGATCAATTTGATTATTTAAAAGAAATTAATACTACGAAAACCAGATAAACGATTATAGTCAAGTTTAAAATAAATATTTCCACGAATTCTTTAGAAACAGTAACTCCTTCAACTATAATATAATGGAGTACATGGCTCAGAACAGTTCTAGGGAAACTCATAAATATGTTCCTTACATCATTTCATATATGTCTTAAAGAATATACTATAAGTACGAAGTGACTTCATTTTATCAGTTTTGCTAACATGAAATCAATCGCTTTTGTTCTTTATTTTCCTGTAGTCAGAGATAAACAGATTTTGCTGGGACATGTTTTACATTTGAGTTGTCAGATCGTGGCGCGAAAGATATAATTGCGAGGAGGAGAATATGAAATAAGTCGTGAATCTAAGCCTCATCTGCGTCTGCTTTAATAAGATAATTTAGAAACAGATTGCATTAAAGGGTATTTGTTTACTGACAGCAGGAATTACCTTCTATAGCTTTTCCTTTCCTGAACGGTACTTCAAGAGTTAGAATGTTGAGAGACTCTAAAGTGTAAATTTCAATGACCGACAGAGACACAACGCCGTTTAACTGCATAAGAGCGGTCTGCCAAAAATATAACATAGTGCGATGTTTATTCTTGCAATAAATAGCCTATTAAATAGAAAACGAAAAGTACTTAACCTATATGTTTGCTCGATTGCAAAGTATGCTCAAGATGTGCTCAAGGATGCTCAACGCAGTTGTTCTTGGGATGAGTAAAATGTTGCCACAGCTGGTGTGAGGGTTCATGCGGCGGTCAGTTCACCCTTCGTACTTCCTCCCAATCAGTGCTTCATCTCTTAACATAGTAATTACCCCCAAGAGCCCGAGAGAGTTCGAAACTTCAGCACTTGAAACTTCCAACTACATCGGCCTGGCTCGCTTTTCCTCGCCCTTAGCGTCACACACTTTTCAGAACCCTCTTGGAATTCCAAACCGAAGAGCAGTCATTTCAAGTTTGTAGTTCAACCTTACCGTACTTCACAACTAAGCACGGTCTGTTTTCTCCTTTTTCTTCGTTCAAACAACTTAGTATGACCCAATGCATGATCTGAATCGGAAGCCCTCTTCTTTACAAATAGGTTAATTAAAATCAAAATTGAACTCCAATAAACAAAGAGGAAAAACAAAAATTATATTTATATAATGAATCGTGTGAAATCAGAGAATAGTCAATGATTAATAAACAAAAATTATTATTAATATTTGTAGTAATTTTAAATAAAACTTTTATAACAAAATTGTATACTGATTAAAATTGTATTCACAATTATATTTTCTACAATTGAAATCGTATCTCATTACTGACACTGCGCTTAAACATTTCAACCAGCAAACAACTCTCTCTAATTCGTGGTAAAGAGAAACCACACTTAGTTAAAGAAGATCAAGTAAGTTCCATTTTATCATCTTTCAAGCCTAAAATTACAATTATTTAAGAAGACGTGAATAATAGTAATTTGATTAAGTAGATTTTTAATTTTACACAATTCAATATAGTTACTTTTAATAACAATTTAAAATCTTAGTTGTATAATACTTTGCTTATAGTGACAATAAATATCAGAGTAATTTTACTGATATTTTTCCTGGTGAGGAGTAACACTGTCCCAGATTTGGCAATAATCACAGCATTGAATATTGATTGATATTAGCTAACTACACAATATTTCACATACCGTGATATATCAATTAATCAATATATCACGGTTTTGGTTTCGGAAACGTGAATTTAACGAGGTTTACTTTACGAAATTGTACTAGTATATAAAAATACTTTAAGTTAAGATTAAATTTTAATATTCTAAATCCATTATGCATCATCCGTAACTTCCTTAGTGCCATAACTACTTACTTCTTTGTTTCTTTAATGAAATATAAAATTTTACTGAAGGAACCTGCCTGGCTTTATGTCTCTACTTCCAAGGTATTTATATTTTAAACATTCCTATTGTATTGTTATTTATATTCCCATTCAAGAATTGTAGGTGAATCTCTTGTTGTGTGACCCCTCAATGCAAGCATTGCCAATAATTGGCATTGACTCATTAGTAACTTTCGTACTTAATGGTAATTGCGAGTGTCTCAAACACGCAAAGAATCATTGCCTGGTTCGGATTTGTAGGCCGAGAACGTAAGTTTACTCCTTCATTGTACTTCTAATACACAGCAGCGTTCGTTAAACATTTGTTTGGGCTGGATTCATCCAAAAACGTTAAACTTTCGCAATATTACATATTTTAGTGGTTTTAAAAGTGATTGAACAAATACCATATTTATTAGCGCTTTTTTTCTTTTTACAAATCACGTAAAAAATGGACCCTTTAAGTGTAAATTGTTTGTAAGTATTTTTGAAATTTCGTTATGAATTGACTACGCACAAAACACCAATGTATTCAACAAGATGTCAACTAAAGAAAATATTTTGAAAAACATATAATTAAGAAATAAATTTTATCTTGAATAATGTGAGTGTAGGAAATGGTAGGGAATTGACTTATGCAGTTCATAAATTCAGATGTATTGAAAATACCACATATGCAATATTGATATGTGAACTATTCTGTACGATCAAAAATTTCATTGAAACAATTTTGCCATTTTTGACAGTTTTTTTAAATATCTGCGAGCTTTACGCAAAGTACTTAAGAGATTTTATGTGTGTGTGAATTACCACGCACTCCTGCGTCACTACCCAGTGCTAGAATTAGGACGGAAGTAGTATGGGTGTAAGGTTTAGGACTCTTCAAAGCGGTGGAACTAGCCCTCGTGAAGCAGCCAAACTCGATTTGTTTGAACAAATTTCACATGAAATTGTCCGGGAATTGAACCCAGACCTCCTCGATGAAAGGTGGGCAACTTCGCACGAGATAACCTGAGCGCGCAATGTGAAATTGATAGATAAATTTCCATTTTTGGAAAAATCCTTGGCATGGGCTAAGCACTAGAGTTATCCACGACAGACGAAGGTTTAAGAAACCTTGTCGGTACATATCAAGAATGTCCAAAACACGTATTTCTGTGAAAATATCGATGTCGATATTTTTGCATTTCATAACTATCTTTAAACTACGTATATTAATTAATATGTACGTACTCTGGATGCAAATAGTCATAGTTTGGATAAAGCCAAAATTATTACAGGGAATTCCACCAGGAGTAAATTCAATATGAAGTGGGGAGGGGAGAAGGGCACTTCGTCGTAGTTCACTGTAATTATATTTGTCTCCTGACAATTAGGACAGCGCGCTAAACGAGTGGATGGCAGTTTAATGACAAAAACTATTTGTTTCTTTTTAACAAGAGAAATTTTCTGATGGGTTAATGTAGTATATACTTTGCGAGTTTCGCGCTTTAATGATTTACTTTGTTTTACCATCTAATTTTGATTTAGGTGCAGGATTTCTTCTTGAAACGACGCCGTCTGATTTATCAGCTTTTAAAGTGTAACTTCCCTGAATCCTTTTGTTTACGCTAGCGCATTCTCCGTCTTCTGCTTCTCTTTAGGACGAGTTATTTCACACTTGCCCTGTGATTCATTCTATTCGGAATCTTGGGGATATTTAAACTACCAGGCAGTTATGAGTTAGCGTAAGATAATACGGGTGCTACTTACGTGGTGGTTAGCTGTTGCTCTTCACGTCACAATCATTAGATGAAAACGTATGTTTAACGTGGTATTGGAGCGTATTACCTTTAGTTCCACAGAGCCGCTGCCCACGTAAACCACAACGCTTCGTAAGTCTGATATTCTTTGTGAACAATGTGTTTAAACGTCACTCTTACTTTATAACACCATTACCCTTATTTGTACTTTTCCCCTTTGCGTCACCCCTACGTTATACACTCGTTTTGACATTAAATAAATGTAAAAAATAACAACCCAATTTTACCCGACTACGCGAAGAAAGAAGAGTTTTGTTTTCCACTGAGGGCTTTGCGAGTATCTTCCCGCCCTAACGTTTGAACTATTAATAAAATTTTAATGAAGGGAGACTAAACGATTTCTAGGGTGTGAATGATCGATGCTGTACAATGTTACTTAAAAATAAATATGGTGGACATTAATTAGTTGTGATACTGATGGTGAACGCAAAGTTAAGTATTGGTAGATCTAACAAAAATTGATTGTTTGAATTGTACGCTTCTTCACAATTTAAAAAATGTCTCTGAAACACTGTTGCTCAACTGCTCAATGAATAAATGGAAGAAAACACAGATGTATGTGCCTCAGATACTACGTCAAATAATTGAATGACGAATACAACTGAAGGGAGTTAAAAAAATTTAGTGTTCGTGATTGTGACAAAGGAATCATGGGTAGGGAAATTGACTTGTGCAATAAAGTTTTAGTAAATGATGAGAGGAACACAATCATTAGACCATAACACATTTTTAATACAAAGAGAAAAATATATTTATATTCATTTCCCTCCAATATACATGACATATATAATACACTTTTATTGTAAATATTTCTGAAACAAATTAATTACATTTCGAGATGTTTTACATTAAAGACGAAGAATATACATTTTCACAATGAGAAATTCCACACCTACAGAAAAACTTAAGGTACCTGTTTGTAGATTTAAAATCATAGTTTTATTTGTTAGTGTTATGAATTAATACATGCACGTTCAGCCCATAACATAAATAACCACTTCAATACACATAAAATATATTTCAGTATGTAGTATATAGAACAACAGTCATTTTGGTAACATTTTAAACACATAAGAATATTTTACTAGCCAACAAGATTGTGTTGGAATATCTCCCGGATGCACAAATTTTTAAAATCGGTCGACAATCATTTCATTCACGTTCGCCTTATTTTCGAAATTATCTCTTATCGCAGATGGAAAATTACAAACAGTATGCAAGGATAGAAATATTTTGAACTTGTTTTATCGTACGAATTGTTCGGATTGTTATATTCAAAATGTTCATGAAAATAAATAAATATTTGAGATTTTTGAAGTAACCTACTTTGAATTTTCGGAAGAAGATTGTCGAAAACAATTTTCAGTGTATATCAAAGCATACCGTCGCAATGTTAAAAGAGATTGGAAATTTTCTCTTTTGAGATTCATGTATGAAAGTAGAAAATTTGTATTTCCCCTCCCACCATGAATTGTTCAATAAAACCAGTCAAAATTCTTGCATGAAAAGGACGGTGTCAGTTCAGCCATATCATATCCGATTTGTGGGGTTCATTTCATGTGATGAGCCTGGCAGTATTTCCGCACGAAAGGTCGCCTCTCTGTGCCCGACGCGATTTCCATGGGAGGGGTCCATTCTGGTTCGGGGTACATGGATTCCATGCCTATCTTGGAGAGACGAGCAGCTGAGTGATGGTACCGCCCCAGATCCCCGACCATGCCGCCGCTGTCCAGTTGATTGGAGGATTCTGTGCGACTGGATGTTCCGGGTTCTGTGTCGGATTCAGAGCCGAAGCTGTCGTATTCTTCGCATGGACGGCCTCGCTTTGGCCGACGATACTCGCTCTTCACTGACTGTGGAGAAAAGAACAACAACTAAAAACATAATCTTGGTTGGCATATCAAGTTGGCATATCGATATTATTATTATTATAAAAATATTTAGTATACATTGACACAACAAGCTCCAAAAACAACTCATCAAGTCACAGGACTTAAACCAACAGGAAATCTCAATGTAACTCGTTATGGAAGAGCCAACATTAGTGTCTGAGTGTGATAAAGTTGACTAAAGAAATACATTCCTTGGCAGCAGTTATCATAAAAAAGTATTTCGATTGACAGAGATGTATGGACTTTCCATTGAGATGATAAATTCGAGCATGTTCTAAGAAAAGGTAAAAAATTAAAAAGGAGACAATACTTCTTTTACGGCAATATTAATGATATTCTTCACAACTCTCATTTGCATCTCGTATGATTTCTTGTTAGTAAAAAATAATTGCATGCCACAATATCATATTAGAGAGAATATTTGAACTCTTAACTAAGCGAAAGATTCTATTCCAGGAAGTGGCTGAAATCGACCTAGTATCAAAACGTCGCCCCGTAATGATTCGAACCCTAAAACCTTTCTCTGTAAGACGCTGCAGACACAGATGATGGTTCTGACTAAACTCAGTCTTACCTTCCTAGAAGGGGAGGTATCAGTTTCCCTGTATACAAATGTTTGCAATTTAGTCGTGTCCGAATGAGGCGGGCTTGGCACATGAAATGTTGCGTAAGGACGAATGTCTTCTGAGTATTCTGGAAACAGAAAAGTTTGCGTAAATATTACCAAACCCAATACATTTCAAGCCGTAATCGAAAATATTTATGAGATTTTCACTTGCCTTTTGTCTCAGTATAATATAATAAAAAACACATCGGTTTATAATTGGGTAGTTTACTACGGACATGCTTTTCGCATCATATTACCAACACGGAAACGAACATTTTAACGGTGGAACGCTAATAACTAATTATAAAAACGCAAAGGTACAAACTCAGTATCTGTTGAAACATAACTAGGGTTATTATTGAAAGACAAAATACGGAAAGGCACAATGGTATACACCCAAGTGCAGTGGGTTCAGATTACACACGCAGATGAAGTTTCCACGCTGAAATTCCGAACGAAGCTTAGGCTGCATGGTAAAACATTCCACCCGCAAGCGCGTTTGCTCTAAAAGCGATGCGCGATCACGCGTTCAAACCGCAATGTTGATCACGCTCATATTGGAGAGATTTTTTACATTTTCATTGGGTTTCCGTTGGCGTGATGTGAAAAAATGACAACAAAAACATCGAGATCCTTTTAATCTCGGAGAGAAGAGCAGTTCCTCTTTAGTTACCACCCTTTTGGGAAAAATAATATGCTAATTATTTTCTCGCAAAGTACTGATAATTATTTGACTTTCGGTACATCGAATGGAAAATTTTGTTTTCAGTTAGAAATTACATGAGGAATCTCGTGTTTAAAGGTCTATCCACAACAGGGGAAGAACCTGCTAACAAATATTCACAAAGCCTTACAAATCTACACGAAAATCACAATAAAATGCAATGCAGTAAGCCATAACTGCGAACTATAAGTCGCTGCTGGTAGCCAAACGTCCTAACCCAGCTCCGTAAACTCAAGAAAGTTAAGTAGCTCGAGTCACCGCGGGTTCCCGGTCGGGTGGCCATGTGGGAACCCCCTGATACTAACGGCGCAGAACCCCTGACCGATAGAGATAAAGGGAAATACCCTGACTTGACTTAACTTAACCTAAGACACATAGTATGTTGAAGGAGAATTACTCCCCCGTCCAACATCAAAATGGGTTGGGGCCGCTGTTACGTAAGGAACAGAACTAAAAAAAAAAAACTAAAAAATAAAGCGAAAACACTTCCTACCTGGGATGCATTCCAACGTACCCGACGAAGGCGAGAGTTTTCGGATGGTAGCGTAGTACTTTTCGCTGCGAGCCAAGTTGTGCTTGTTATCCTGGTTGGCGTTGGCCTGCATGTCTTGCAGACTGGGATGCGGTGACGGACTGCGACCAGCGCCTACCATGATTGCAAATCACTGTTACATCATGTACCTATCCTCATATCACATGTGAAAGAACACGTTTCTGTGGTCTGAGCACACTTTTTCTAAAACTCGGGAGTAAAAATACCTGTCTTTTAAAATTTTGCTAACCTCGCTTTTCTGTACTTTTATTCCTCATTCAACTACGTATAGTAAAAGAAGGGGGAAGAGATTCTGGAGCTCCCTCCAGAAAACGTGCGCATATTGTTCTTCTCCCCCATACGTCACATACAGTTTTTACCGTTTATTGTTTACGAAAATAAAACAACTCAACACAAATGTAAGCGCCTCCTCCGTTCATTTTTAGAGGCACTGAATAGGCACTTCGCATCTACAGCGCTTCTATTTCACCAGGTACCGACAAGGAGCTACAGTGCGATGACAGCAACTGTGTTTTCGCTCGCTGGCTCGCTGGGGCTGGGAAGTTGAGTTGAAGGAGCCTGATCTAACACGTCGAATGCTCTAGTTTCACGCAGCATTCGCAATATTATACGATATTTTTATTGTTCAGATGTGAAAACTGTTTACAAATGTTTTGGCATTCATTATTACTCTGAAATTTTTGTCATTTTGTCATTTTTTGACAAGACAATTTCTATTTTTTTTAGAAGTGTAGGGAAAGAAATTATCTTCCAAAATAATAGGGTGGGTTTTAACGAAGTGGAATTTTGTCCCTGTTAGGACTCTTTGTTTGACAATAAATACATCGTTTTGCCCGTATATCTCGTTTTTAAATTTGTTCCGACTTTTATGTACTCCGATGCAACAATGCTCGCTGATGTTCGTTCCCCCATTCTACATATTATGTTTTAGTTCCGGAGATTCAGATTTTCCAGACATTGTCAGTAGAGTTATGGGCGCAAAGGATGAGACTAATTCAACATCTTAAGCTAGCAACACCCGAGCTTCAAATGACGGACGTCAAAGTGTGTCCGTTGCGCGACAGGGTCGCACGAGAGTCATGCACAAAGCGGGGTCCATCGCCAACAATGTCCATCGTGTAGTAGCCAAAGAATGTTAGATATTAGAACGCGTACGTAGTTTTTGATGGACGTTGTAGCATCTTGGACATCTGTAGCGTCCAGGACACATGAAGTTAAAGGGGCGTACGTTATACGTATGTTGTACCACGTTGAACGAGTGTCACACGATTTTCCGTTTATAACATGTATAGGTACGACGTTGAGATATTAATTAATAAAGTGGACATGAGAGCATGTCTTCTAGTGTACAGCATACCTCACATTGATATCTTGCCGTTTAAATGATCATGCAATTTTGATAGCAATTTCCTGAACGATGGCTCAAATATTCGAAAATAATTTAAAAAATCTCACCATCGTTGCATAAAATCTCAAAGAAGGGGTAAAATACCCTCTTCGATAACCACTATGTATTAATGGTATGAACCTATCATCTCCTTCTCTTTTTTTTGTAAGTTTCATTCCAATGTAACACACAATCGCTAACCACGCAGCAACCATGTTTGCTAGCACAAAACCCCGAGACAAATGACGTCCGTTGTGCGGCAGTAATCGTGCCCGAGCGGTATGTCAACAAACGGACGTCGAATTGACGGACGTCAACGACGTACGTTTTGCGACGCCTGTGAGTCGCTAATCTAAATGAGATATATAGAATCTAAGAGTGGATACTTACGTTTCTTTAAGCAGAAGCATATTCCCAGCAAACTGAGGATCAAGGCAATAACTGATAGCACGCCCACTACAACTATCTTCATATCTTTGTGCAACGGTGTTTTCTGCTCAGTTCGTGTAATAACATGGCTGGGACTTACAGTTCCTGGAAATTAATCGAATCATGAAGTGAAGCAACATATCTTAAGTCGTCTCAAAATGCCTCTTTATGAAGCTACTTACCTCCAAATTCACTCAAAGTTTTCACTTTATATTGAGCAACTGTAGACCCAGCAGCGTTGTGAGCTGTAACTCGAATTTTGTAATTTTGTCCTGGATTTAAGCCTCCCAAGGGGTAAGATCTATCGGTGCCAATGTTATTTCCCACTGTAAATATCAAATATAGTGACATTTTAATGCAACATTCATTGTTAATTAAAAATGTATTTTTTAAATAGACGAAATCATCTAGTATCTGTAATATATTGAGGTTATACGTAACATTTTTGTAGGTTGTAAATCTTGAATTACAATTTTCGATATATTCTTTTATTACTGAAAAACATTTACTACTGGACGATAATCGTAACTATGGAAGTGTAACCCGACAATACGTAGCTACAAATACTGAAAGCTCGGACGTCTACCTACTGGACGTGAATATGTGAGAATGTAGAAGATGATCACTTTTTGTTAATGAATATGTCGTGAGATCGTTCTCTGTTGTTTGGTGAGTACACGTTCTGATGCAAAGAGATTTAACATTAATGTAAAACGACTTGCCTGCTGCAAAGAGGCAAATGTCACAAGAGTAACTTCTTATATGAAAGTCCGCCCCGCATGCTCATTGGCAAAAAGTAATCCCTTCGACCACCTATATACCATAGAAGTTTGTATCAATAATTCACAAATAACCTTTATAAACAGAGGAAACGTATGTGATTAATAGATATAACTAACAAAAGCTAAATTCAGTTTTTTTACTAAAGGAGAATATTCACAACGCCGTGTCCACATATTGTACACTATTTGAATTGAAATGTACGTTAAACCGAACAAAAATAAAAGTTCTCACCTACGATCCAATTATCCTCTCTATCAGACACATACTGAGAATATTCCACGACGAAATAAAAGAGAGGGCACCCTCCGTCGGGCCAGGCGTTGAGATTGAGCGTGACGGAAGACGAGTTGACGGCGATCAGTTCGGCGTGCTGCGGGCGCAGCGGCACGGCGCCGCGCGTGCGCACGTTGAGCGTGGGGCTGGGGTCGCCCGTGCCCACGCCGTTCAGCGCCGTGATGAACACGTGGTACTGCGTGCCGCAGCGCAGCCCCGTCAGCACGTGCGTGCTGCGCCCCCCGTCCAGCTGCAGCTCCTCCCACTCGCCGTGCTCGTGCTTGTAGTGCAGCACAAAACTTCGCACTCGGCTGCCGCCGGTGTCGCCGAGTTTCCATTGCAGCTGTAAGGAGTGCTGCGTGCCTCCGGTCATGAGCAATACCGGAGCACCGGGAGGGACTGGCGCGGAAATCGAGTGCGAAATTATTCATCACATTATTCAGTTATGAGCTTGTAATTCAAGAATTTTAAAAGTAAAGGTATGGGGAAAATAGCAGTATCGGTGGTGTCTGAGTCAAAGAGTGTGGTTAGATTAGGTCAGACGTATAATTGAAAACGTTTAAAACACATTGAGAAAATGAGTTGTAGAGAGAGAGAAACGACGTGTGGTGCATATAACGCTTATTTTCCCTTATTTTAATAAACATATTGTTTCTGTAAATCGCTCATTCATCCGTATGTTTCTTTTAAAACGTTTGTCATAACATATTTATTTCCCATTACTTCAAACAGTAAATCTAGTCTTGTAAAATGTATTTTATTTATGAGGTTCATTGTAACTAATCTCCATTTTCTGAATCTGAATTTTCACCTAAAATTCGATATAACTTCTGATATTTCACCTTTTTCGCATCCGATCTCGTTTCCCAAATTCTTCCGACCTCCATAGAAATGTTGACCAGTTTCATTTACCATCTCCCACTCTAACCCACAGTCTAAAATTGATCTTACATCTGAGGGTTGCGCCTTACGTACAACATTCGCTTGAGGTTGTCTCAGTATCTTGTCTACGAATGTAAATTTAAAATCCGCGGAAGGTTTTAGCCAATAATTGAAAAAAAAACAACCTTTTACTACGAAATCGGTCGCTTCAAGTATTATGGCCTTCTTGAGAGTTAGTAACGCCGATTAACGTTTGCATTTGATTAGTGCTGCCAACAATCCAACACGTGACAATGGGGATTGCATCAAATTGTAAGTGAGATCGAACGTGAAACGGAAATGACTTCTAATTGCACGGTATGAAGATTTATGAAATTTGTAGGATATATTTTTAAAGATTTACTTCACAAATGCATTCATATCTAATGAATTATTACAGCTTATAAATCCGACCATTTATTATAATTCAATTTGTGATGTAATTACAGCATGCACTTTCACGTCCAGTTTGTAAGAGTTACAAAATATTATAAAACTACTTGAATCCGCAAAATATTTTGCAACCAGGAGAACTTTTTTCTCGCCCTCTGATTCGAACGCGAGTACAGTTTAAGTTTGTCACAAAACCCACGTATCCCTACATCACCAACCTCACAGATAAAAAGCAACCCCGACGCTTTAAACATAAAATTAAATTTTGCATTTAGAATTTTCGAAAATTAAGAGAATTCACGTGGCATTATTTCAAAATCTAATTCCGAAGAACTACTTTATTAAAAAAATATATCTTCAATATTGTAATTAAAAAAAACACGCCGACAAATATTTAAACTTTTGCAACCAATATATCTGAGAGCAGATAATTTATAATTTTAATAAAGCCTTTTACTTACGAGTGATGGTATCTACGACAATATATGATATGGATCAAAACAAAAATTCCTTTCAATATTGTGGCTGCGCAGCGAAGCGGTATTTACCAAAATTCTCTCCCCACCCCAAAGTCCTTCCAGCTGAATTATCTGCCATTTTCCCCCAACCCTCGAAATCAGGTCATTTCCACACCGTGCCTCACCTAGCACGACGAGCCGGTAGGTGATGTGGTCGCTGCCGTGGTCGTTGGACACCTGGCACATGTACTCGCCCTGGTCGGGGCGCTGCACGTTGCTGAGCAGCAGCGCGCCGTCGGGCAGCACGTGGGCGCGGGGCTGCTGCGACATGGAGAGGTCGCCGGGCCGCTGCCAGCGCCGCGAGGGCTCCGGGATGCCCACGGCCTCGCACGGCAGCCGCACGTCGCTGCGCCACGCCGCCTCCTGCACGCCGCCGAACGACACGATGCTCGCGCTCACTGCAACACGGCCGGCGCGGCTTCGTTCAGGCCCCGTGGGTGGCGCGTGCTCTGTGTGCGGCACATCACCGGGAAAGGTGGCCTCACTGATGGCACTGCAGGGCCTCTGACCGGGAGATCCTGTTTCGCGACCCAACGTTGCCAGGATTTTCGATACTAGCTATATAGCTTGGTACAGCTTCTGTCTTGAGTCTTTAGGAGAATTCTGGTGACCGGTTTCTCTTATAGATAGTTTTCCGTGGTTTCTACGCTCAACACCAGAGAATGCCGGAGCGCTACCCTAACAAACGGGCCACGGACCGCGCGCAGTCTTTCCTTTCTCTTTCTTATACACACACTTACATGTATTACACTAACACACATGCCATGGGAGACCGGTCGGGAGTTTAGACCCTGGACCGGCTGGGGCGGTGCCTTGGTGGTGGGAGATACCTGGTTGAGGAAACCCCAACTAGCTTAAAGATAGGTTGGCGCCAAATCTCACCATTCAGCGGAGAAATATCACGGCGGTGATCACGGTGGAATATCACGGTGGCGACCTCCCGAGAAAAAAACGCTCTACAGTTACGGGACTAATGACCTTAGAAGTTAACGTGCCCAGTATCACTAATCAATCAATCCATCAATAGTTATTCGTATTGATTGATTAGTAAATCGGCCTCTTCAACGGCTAAGGTCATTAATTCTGTACGAGTAACTGTACCGCGTGTTTTCTTGCGAGAAGTACCGGTGATTTTCCTCCGCTGGATGGCAAGATCCGTCGCCGCCCTAGCCGTTGGCTAGCGAGGTTCTCCCCAAACAAGAATCTCTATACAGTGGGGAACCGCACCCGTCAGGAAAACATCACGATTAGTATCGCGGGATGTGTGGTAGCGGCATGTAAGAGTGTGTGTAAGGGGTGAGGATGCGATAAGGAAGGGGAAGGAAAGATCGGGCGCCGTCCGTGACAAGTTTGTTAGGTTACTTTTCCGGCATTCGTCTACTGATGTTAGGAAACAAAAATCTACCGATCAGGGCAGCCGACCGCTTGAAATTTTTTCCAGTCAGCGGCTGATTTTGACCTATTCAGTGTCGAAAATCCTGTCACCACCGTCAGGACCCGAACCCTAAGACCTGCCAATCAGAGGTACTTAAGGATTAAAAGATGTCCGCCGCGCGTTAAGAATCATGAAAACAAATGATTCATAGTCAAAATTGTCCAATGAATACTTTTATTCCACGAAAAGTTATTTATTTTATGAAGTAGTAACTTGTATGAAGTACTGAAGCTTACCGTCTGCTTAAAGCAATCGAAACAAATATGTTGTTCTTATAAATGGCGTTTTAGTCCTTTTATTGCAAAAAGAAATTTCTTATTTACATGATTTTTCTCCTAAGATGGTATTACGAAAAGTATAGAATGATACACGGCCAACATAGACAACTTGCTTGGTTGGTTGCAACACTCGTGTGAAACCTACAAAACTTGGATTCTGGCCACACAACGCGTTGAAGAAAGTAATTTACTATGAGCAGAAGCAATTTTCGGTAGAATGTATGCACCTTTTCTATAGAATTGACTAATAATAGGAGTTCCTCTGTCTGTAAATCGCCGCTGCATCATTACAATACATACTCTTTATAAGGTAAGTACGTAGTTAGGGAGAAAAGAAAAAAATCAATAAATCTGTGTATTCACGTAAGTGCACAAATTAAAATGACAATTATATGTCTTTCATTTCAATTAGTGCATAAAAACCTATTTAAAAGGTTACTTGAAAATTATTTTTGAATTGAACGAATCGCTCAGTAATATCCTTAATATTTTAATTCATCACAGCAAATCTCAGTTTTTCGTCATTATTTCATTAGGGAATCCACTCAATGTTTCTGCGATATATATATATATATATATATATATATATATATATTGCATTGTTGCATTGTAGTGGTCCTTGAAATTGTTAGGCAACACTAATATAAGATGAAAACGAGAGAAAAGATAAAATTAAAATGAGGAGAAGGAAGATGTACTGAGGGCTAACGAAAAAGAGTGAAGAGGAGCAGAAGGAAGAGACGCAAGGGGAGAAGAATGAAGAACAATAGTTAAAAAGGAAAAAGAAGAGCAAACATAGAATAAGAAGAAAGTGGAGATGACGAAAATGGAGAAGGCAGGAGAAGAAAAGAGAAGAGAATAAGAAAGCGGAAAGAAAGCGGAAATGACGAAAGTGGGGAAGAAGAGAGGAGACGAAAGAGAGAAGATGAAAAAAGAAAGACAGAAGTGCTTTTGACTTAACTAATGAATTCACTCAACGAATAGAGTATTGTTATTTCTCGGTAATAAAGGCTCGGCTAGCCGTAGCCCAATAACTAGCTGAAGTAAGTATTCGCACTTTCACTGTCGCGACTACTTTTATCTTCTGAGCCTCTCTTCTCTTCTGTAAAGTAGAGAATTATGAGATATGCGGAAGTGTTTTAAGACAACTATCTCGTTGGGCATTGAAAACATTACAGTTCATTACCCTAATGCCGTATGAATTAATAAGATAAACAAACCAACAAAAAGATTCCTCAACATTTTATGTCATGATGTTGAAAATCATCGTAAAACCATTATAAGGGCTCATTGACGTTGGTCTCGCTTATCGTTGGCTCTCGTGACCGAATTTCGCTCCAATTCATTCCAGATAGTTCCCTCGTTGCTGCCTCGCCTCGCTGGATCAACAGCATAAATCAGGAGCTCTCACCGGTAATTAAACTCGGCCGGAGCTCCAAGCGCCAAAGGCGCGCTAGCATCCCCAGAGACACCCGGACGCTCAAATACATGGGCAGGCACACATTCAGACACGCACACATTCGCGCTGTTCAAATACGGCGTAAAGCAGTGGCGATCACTACCTTTGGCGGCGGGCGTGACGGCGGCGACGGGCGTGCTCTTGCCCTCGCCCACTTGGTTCGAAGGGCCGTCACCCAGAAGTCGTAGCGCAGCTGGCGCCGCAGCGCCGGGGCAGCTGGAACTGCAGTCGGGCGCCGTCGCGGGCGTGCATACACGGAGCGCGCGTCCCCTGGCGCCGCCGCTCCCGGCGCGCATACGTACACGTGGTATTTGGAGCAGCAGCCGTTGGGCCGCGCCGGCGGGCAAGCGCACGCCACCCAAGCCTGCGTCGGCGGCCGACGCGCCGCCTTGATGCTGAGCTGGGGGCCCCGGCACTGCGAGCACGCGCCGGTTCAGTAGGACTCTGTTCGGGTCGGTCGGGTCTGTCGGGTTGTTCGGGTCGGTGGGTCGGTCGGGTCGGTGGGATCGTCTCGGTCGGTACGGGTCGGTTCGGGTCGGTCGGTGGTCCGGGTCGGTCAGGTCGTTCGGGTCGGTCCGGTCGGTCGGGTCGGTCGGGTCGGTTCGGGTCGTGTCCGGGTCGGTCGGTCGGTCGGGTTCGGTCGGGTCGGTCGGGTCGGTCGGGTCGGTCGGGTCGGTCGGTCGGGTCGGGGGTCGGTCTGGGTCGGTCGGGTGCGGTCGGGTCGGTCGGGTCGTTCGGTCGGTCGGTCGGTCGGGTCGGTGTCGGGTCGGTCGGGTCCGGTCGGGTCGGTCGCGAGGTCGGTCGGGTCGTCGCGTGAGGTCGGGTCAGGTCGGGTTCGGTCGGGTCGGTCGGGTTCGTCGGTCGGTCGGGTCGGTCGGGTCGTTCGGGTCGGTCGGGTCGGTCGCGGTCGGTCGGGTCGTCGGGTCGGTTCGGGTCGGTCGGTCGGTCGGGTTCGTCGGGTCGGTTCGGGGTCGGTTCGGTCGGTCGGGTCGGTCGGATGGTCAGGGTCGGTCGGGGTCGATCGGTCAGGTCGGGTCGGCGGGTCGGTTCGGGTCGGTTCGGGTGGTCGGTGTCGGTGGTCGTCGGGTCGGTCCGGGTCGGTCGGGTCGGTCCGGGTCGGTCGGGTCGGTCGGGTCGGTCGGGTCTGGTCGGGATCGGTCGGTCGGTCTGGGTCGGTCGGGTCGGGTCGGTCGGGTCGGTCGGGTCGGTCGGGTCGGTCGGGTCGGTCGGGTCGGTCGGGGAAGCAGAGTTGTTAGCCCAATCAAATTAGATGAGAAATTAGAGCCTTGTATGTTTGCCGGTAAAAAAATCACTGTTTTTTGCGCAGCAATACAGAATTTTTCTCAACTGCGAAAGCGGAAGAATGAAAGTAACAAAAAATATCACGTCTATAACTTTAAAATGGTTAATTTTACTTCAAAATGTTGTTTTGAAAATGTGTTTTCCTTTATTTTGTAAAGGACATCATTTTCTGTAGGATTAATAGTTATGGAGGTAGATGCACAATAAAGAACAAAAACAAAAAAAAGCACCTTTCAAGACCCCCTACCACTTCACCCCTCACACTCACGATTTTCAGTATAATATGCCGTTGGTACGTATTTTCAGTATAATACGCGGTACAAACACTGCTACGTTTTAACTTTCCCGAATTTTTCCACTCGGTTCGTGTAATTTGACTGGGCTATGTGCAAAGTTCACGAGAAAAAAATGGTCGCGTACGTACTGGTACCAACTATATGGAGTCGTTTTATTTTCCAAAAGATTTAATATCACTTGATATTAAAACAGAAAAGTGTACACATTTTATTAGTGATTTAACAGAAATGTAAGAAAAACCAACGTACTACCCAACGAAGATACATGAGAAATATTAACGTACGTTTACAACTAACGCAACTGAACCGGATATGTGCCTGAACTGTTTGGTAGGCTTTTCGTATGGTGATCCAATATGTAAATGTAGATGGTTGTGATTTGAGTTTGTGATTTATATGCTGGCCAAAAGGTAATGAATTATTGTCGAAATTTTCAGTTTAGTTAGTTACGCTGAAGCCATTTTAGGGATAATTTTCATTCAGTAATAGCATCTGTTACACTATCCACAAGAAGTAGAACATAGTTATCTCTAATCAAGGGATCTGTATCTTTTGATAGTTACAGATTTTCCGTCCGCGTGGAGTTATTAAAAACAGAAATGTCTGACATTCAAGGAAATATACGCGACGTCTGCACAGCAGATAGAAGAGTTCATACAGAACAGTTCATACTGTGTTCTTCAGGACAATTCATATTGATGTCACGTTTTTTGTAGGGTTATAAGAGATGTGAGAGCTGTTTATTCGTCTTGCTCAATCGAGAGAACTCTTCGTTCTCAATTATTTGGAATAAAAATTAGAAAAAGTGTTCACTACCAGCCTATTGCAGACAAATTATGCATTACAATTTCCTTTGCATTGTGATATGCGATATTTTGGGGTGCATCAAAATAATGAAAATTGCACATAAACATGTTACTTACCATCTTCTTTAGTACGACAATAGGTTTTCGGAGACTTTACGCCATCCCCTACACTAGTGTATGCTAATAGCTCAACACTGTAGTTCGTGTATTTCAAGAGATTATGCAGAACGGACATTAGTGCAGTAGTGACTCTAGTGGCTGGCTCAATTGATTCTGCAAAAAATAGTAAGCAAAAAGAAATTTGATGAAGACTTAACTAAACAGCACACAATACAAATTCCTAAATTAATTAGTGTCTCGAAAATTGATAGCGTTTGCTCCCTGACATATTTTATCTTTAAAAACCAAGCGAGCATATTACGAATGTGTCTTCCAAACTATGCCAAGCAACACATCATATTGTCATAATTCAAGATTCAATATCCAACATTTCAAAATATAGAAATATGTTGTGTTTTAACCTTAAACATGTTTTTACGTGTTTTTAAAAATTAATAAAAAGAACAAAATTATTTACTTCAACACGTCCGACCTCTTCCCATAATACAGTGCATGTTCTTTTGTAATAAATTCCTATTGCTTCCAGGACCAACGGTCAGTATTACTGGATTTATCGCATATAAAGACATTTTCTTTCTGAATCAAATGAAAAATATAACGTAAAACGTATGCACTGAAAAGTACGTCGTGTTTCGGCAAGAATTCAAAAATTATTTTCTTCACACAGTTTCCCAACGACACACCTTTGATTTTCTTCACCTTTGAAATTATTTCCTATTAGTCGAACGGAGAGGGGACACCAGCTGATGAGAGAAAGTCTCTTTGTACAATAATATTTTAATTAATTTTCTCACTTTCCGTCTAAATGTCAGAGCTTGAAGCAATTTTCGAGACTCTATAGAATGTCTTAACACGTTACAAACCATCCTGTGGTTGTGGTGCCACTGGCTCATACAGCAGACGGTAGCCGTTGATGACTCCGTGAACCAAAGTTTCGGGAGGAGGCTGCCAGCTGATTTGCAGGGACTCGGGGGACAAGGCCGTACAGCGCACGTCCCGAGGAGAAGCTTCTGGAACTGTCCAATGAAAGGAAGATATACGACCACGCACTGTCTGACGCAAAGTAGGAAGTTCTACGCGCAGGGAAAAGAAGAAAATGTTTTGACGTCGAAACGTTTCAATTTTTTTGTTTGCGCACGAGCCTCCTCTTAGCTGTTTCCGAGGCGAGCCAAGTACGAATGGTTACCGCGGGGTTCCAGGGGTCTAACTCATTTCTGGCAGGCGTACGATAGCCAAGTTAGCAAGTTCTAAAAGGCAATGTGTCATTGTTTTCAAAAAATATCAGTTTAACATCAAAGTTTTAATCATAAGTTGCGAAAGATGGACAATCTGAAAGATGGACTATCACAGACTAGCTGAGTAAAATTTATTTGAATTATATTTTACGATCTAAAATTACTCATAATATTAAAACGTTGACCTTGCAATGATGCATTTTACTACAACAACAGCTAATTATGTATGTACATAATAAATAATTACATTTCTAATGCTCCAAATACAATGACATTTTCAATTGTGCTTTGTTGGTAAATAACGGCAGGAAAAACAGTATTTTGGAAAGGAATTATATAACAATACAGTAACTAAATACTTTATTAACCGAGAACATACGAAACAAATGCGCTGAGCCCTATGATCTACGTAAAATGTATTAACTTGAATTAGGAGAAGTATAATAAATAATTATGAATAAAAATTCATGCTTCGGTTGCATTCCTCATAAGAAAAATAATAAAATATAAAAGCAATGAATTAAAAGGATTAAATTGAGAAAACTGATGTATTGTCTCATTTCCTGAACGTTTCGTAACACAGTACATGCAATGGTTCAAGACTAACAGAAGGTTTTAAAGAAGTATAAACACCAAATAACTTACTCTGCAACGGTAACAATATAATTGCATGCAATTCGCCTACTTAACTAATTTATTAGTAAATATTTCAACGTTTCTGCTATTCTGCGTAATCTACTACACATAAAAGAGTACAATACAAATGAAAGAAATTAGTACCATCCTCCAGTGTTTGTGCAATGACTTCGTCGGACAGCGGGCCACTTCCTTTGCTATTAAATGCTTGAACTACTAAACCATATTTGCAAAATTTTCTCAAATCGTTTAGGAGTGTTTCTTGCCTTCCAGTTCCATGGAACTGTACAGTGGTAAAATTGTACTTTCGTTTATCAGAGTCTCTGAAAAATAAGCCATATGACGTTCGCTTTAGTTCAATATTCATTCAATTAAGCAATCATTTTTTTAATGAAAAGTAAAAATGTAATGTTGGAGGAAAAGAAACGAAATCTTTGCACTGCTTGATTCACTCTTCAACGTGATAGAAACTATTACCACTTTGCAATTGTGTTCAATCCTTCCGCAATTTGTTGGATCGCTCATAGTATGACAAAATAATGCAAACGCGTATGTTGAATTATATTCTTTTGATAACTCGTTTCCTACCTTCTAAATGATTGACCATCTAATTCCCGCCACTAGAGACAGGTTCTCTTCAAAGTTGCGTATACCACTAGAGGACATTCTTCACTTTTTTCGCCCCGAATACCGGTATGTCAGATAACAATTTAATAAGAACAAAAGAGTGTTGCTTGTTGATATCTTGATCATAGATTTTTACCAAAAGAAACTGATTGTATTCTTTCCCTTAGTTTATCATTAATTTGTAATGACTAGCTTTCAGTTAATTTTTATAAGTGACCACCTGAGTTGGCCACAACAAATAACTTCGAAACGGTTTGAGACATCGGGATGCGATTTACTTCAACTTGTGATGATGGATTTTTTTTTCTTTTTCTAGTTTGTAACGTTTAATTTTCTTATTGTTGACTTACCTTAGAAATTTTAAATAAAAGTTATTTTTCTGCCGTCATTCTAAAGTATTTGAAAAGCCGAATACAATGATAAAAGCATTGTTAATATTCAGAAAGTAACTGTAGAAAAAACACTTTCTACATTTCCTCGGAAATAATGTTTTCTGCCACTTTCCGCAAAAGGTTTTTCGAAGATGAGAAGAGTCTATCCACTGGCGCTTCGCTCTCTAGATAGAAATCACAATTGGAACTTCTAGTTTTCAATGCAAGTAACTATTCTTATTTGTATTGCTTTCTTGGATTGATCTACTACTTGTACGCTCATTTGTATCTGTTTTTTTCTCTTTTTTGCAGCTACGCAAACAAATTCTTCGCGTAGCAAGATAACACAATTTGTATTTCTATTCCTCAAAAGAATACGTTGTTAATGGATCCATTATGATAATAAGAGTTAGAAGTAATTCACATTTTACTTGAACTCACTGGCCTGTTTTAGAAAGTAACTTCCCTCTTTGATTAATTAAATTATTACTTGCTTATATTATCATCGCATTGTTAGTTTCCAAGAATTGTTAGTTCCTGTTAGAAAGTACGCCTGATCTTGCGTGTGCGACCTCGCTCTTGCGTGTCAACAATGCACTCGATTGAGCGTACGCTAAGTGATCACTAGGTGGAATCTGTCGATACCGAGGAAGTGTCAGCAATGATTAATTACATTTATTTAACAGACTAAAATTAATTTAATCAGTAATACAATATTCATGAAAATGAATATTGTTCATTTTCATGAATATTGTATATCATTCAATTATAGATTGTGGTGTGAGACAGCAAGGAAATACCAATCATTTCTTATTTTAATGATATTGATACTTGAGATGGCTAGACGTGCAGTGTTTCATTAGAAAATAAAAGATAGACAAATCTACGAACGCGACAATGCAAAAACTGAATGATCTTAAAACCAAATTTACATTCTAATTTATAAAAGTGAGTCCAAATAAAAAGTAGATTTCTTCGCTTTCTTAGTTTCGTAATTGATTGACCAGTAAATGCATTCCATTATCGAATACAAACAAGTTTATTTTAACTAACACAGTTAATAACAAAGAATTCGTTCAGTATCCTCGAGGCAGGTACAGAAACAGATACACATTAACTAGGAGATCAACTCAATGAAGCAATACAAATGAGTCTAGTTTCATTGGAAACACGAAGTTTGAAAAACCGATGTGTATCTAGAGATACTTATCGCTTTCCGGAAAATCGTTGCGGCAAGTCTGGGAATACATGCCTACGAATACCATGCTGAGGAGGAATAAAACCCACTTTTTATACTGTTTGCTCAAAATTGTAAGAAATTTTAGTTTATAATTGTATTAGTCTCTTCGAGTAGTTTAGAATGGTGGTAGAAAAAGTATACTTGCATTTAAAATATTAAAGTTGTGGAAATATCTCAAAAACATTCACTAGAAGTCGAAATACGTTACTTCCCCCACCGTCACCCTTGCTCAAACCGTATCTCGATATCTCAAGCCGTTTTGAAAATATTCGCTGTCGTCAACGTCGGCGGCCCAGCTGTATACTAGCTTATCAAAGAATTCACTCAATATATTAGAAAACAGTCTCTTCTTTGTTATTAGAGGACTTCATGCTGCATTTCCTAGATTTCCTACGCAAAACAGCCCCGACGTGAAACAGGCCTCAAATCTGGAAAAGGAAAAAAAAATCTTTCCCAATTGCATTTCCCAGCCCCAGTTTCCTTCATCTATACTGCACGAGTCACTCGCCACCCAATGAAACAATAAGTAGACCGCGCGGTGGCCGTCTATCCACGCCAACTGACAAACGAATAAAAACGTCACGGTCGCGCGCGGAGCAGAGCGAGCCAAAGCGGGCGAGCAGGATCGGACGCGGGCTAAGGCGCGTGCGCGCCGGCGTGCTCACCCGAGCAGGCGGTGGCCGACGTAGTGGCCGAGCAGCGGGCCGTTCCACGCGTCGGGCGGCGGCGGGTCGAAGGCCAGCGCCACCTGCGTGGAGCTGCGCGCGTCTGCGCTGAGGCGCAGCGGCGCGGCCGACGGCGCCTCCTCGGCCGTGCGCACCAGCAGCTCGTTGCTGGCGGCGCCGGGCCCCAGCGTGTTCTCGGCCAGCACGCGCACGCTGTACGTGGTGGCGGGTTGCAGGCCGGCCAGCAGCGCGCTGCTCTGCCCGCCCTCCACCACCGTCTCCAGGATCGGACCCGCCCACGCGTCTGCCCGGGGGGAGAGAGAGAGAGAGCGAACGGTGATACGTTTGCATGCCGGGCCAGAGACTCGGAGTTGATGCAAATGTTAGTGGATGCAGAAATTGTTCACAACACAGCAACTATATTGGTTTTGGGAATTAAGATAAAGTAGATAAGCGGCTGCAAGACCTCAAGTGTGGCTTCAATAGCATTTAAGAAGCCACATTAATAAATTAAAATGATTGATTAATATTCCCTGGCCCTTAAAATATTTTGTTTATAATTCATACGTAATTCATATTATATGTCGGAAGGAATTGGAGGATGATGTTGCGGGAAAGTGATTTATAGTGGAGAGGTTCCTGGAAACCATTTGGTAGTATCATAAGACTGTAGGTAATTGTAGAATGTAACTGCAGACGTAATGAGAAGAAAATTAGGTTCAGAAACGTCGGCAAGCTAACTGAAGTTCACCAGAGTGACGGTAAATATTAGAACAAAACACTCTTATCCCGCGAGGTGAACGGATCTGATAATGTTAAAACAGTTTGCCCGCGAAATGATTTTCTTGACCGCCGTTGATATTACATATTACAATCATTTTCTGTTTTTCCTTAACTCACAAAACCAACATCACACACAAAAACACAGTGAAAATAATACAACACAATTATTCTTACTTTTAATCTTGTTGTATCGCACCAGATAGCGAGTTATGGGACTGTTTCCATCTTGAGCGGGGGCCCAGGCAATCGTAACGCGTCTACTGCTCTGGTCCAATACTCTTAGGTTCGTGGGATGCTCAGGAGCATCTGAATAAACCAGTAACATTTAGTGTGCATTTACTGAGTATTGGCTCCTAGAGGCAATGAATCTGCATTATGTTTCTGTGTGTAAAATATATATAATATCGAGAAAGGCAAACTTACGTTAACCGCAAAGGAAGGAATGAGAGGTAGAAAAATATTACCCTGAACTAAAAGATGGATCGTTGTTTGATCCTGGCCATATCCATTTCTTGCGAAACACGTGTATATACCTCCGTCCTCTACATTGACGTCATCTATCCTGAAGTCTGACTCCAATCCTCCACTTATATTCTTCACGCTAGAAATAAAATTTCTATTTACCTTCTCGTTTTCTCTCTTGAATTATATCCAAGTAGTCGTTATCTGAACTACCGAGGCATCACTGGGCGATGAGTGCTAAAACAGGGCAACTATAACTACGTTCGAGGTGCAAATATTCACGGCAAGAACTACAAGGTTTGTATAAAAAAACAGACATTTTAATTTCCTTGTCACATTAACAAATCACAACACTCTATTTCTTTGATACGATAAATTAAACATCGTTTGCGCGACTGAATGTCTCCCCGACCAGAATATTCATCAATACTCAACCAATTAAAAACTTATCGTATCAAGAGCTCGCACCTAGAAAAGTTTTAATGATTCTGCTGCTCCTTCGAAAGTTACGCACTTCACCAACTCCTAGCAGATTCGTACGTAAACAAGTTTTGCCTTCCAGTAATCAATTATTTCTATCTCGAAAGACAGTTCGTTTCAACCCGCCTATTAAGGAAGGGTTAATTTAGCTTCAGATGAATACACAGAAATATCACGCCACCCTTTCATTTCATTTTGGACAAAACACAACGTTTAACAACATCCGAAATTTCTCCACTAATTAAAAGCAAAACGAATCAATAAGGCGGCTCGCATGAAACTTACAATTGCAACTTACAATTTTATCAATTTTGAAAATAAAAAATAAATGACTTTTTAAAATAATTCCGAGAACAATATCTTATTATTAATTCACATTTATCATACTATACTCTGAAGTTTAAAATGTATGGTTTCAAGTCACAAAATAACGTAACACGCTCAACTCCAACACAATTATCGCAGGCAAGCTTGCAAAAGCGATTGCGAGACACTACAAGCGGTACCAACCTATCTCGTCCTTGCAAATCCCTGAAACTGCCTTCCTTCCTCCAGGCGAAGGTTATGGGCATATCCCCCAGCGCCTGGCAGCGCAGCACCGCCGATCCCCTTCTCCGGACCATCTCCTTCCGGGAGCGCACTTTGAAGTGCACTGGGGCTGTCAACCCAATGTGCTCTCATCAGTAAGAATCCTGTTAGATGCACTACGCTGCAGCAGGCGTCGGCAACCTTTTTGGGCTTTGAGTCAAAATCGACCCAAGTGCTGTTGTCGGTAGCCGAACTGTTTAACCGCGGTCCGTGAAGTCACGGTTAATCAGTTCGCGACGCTGAGGGTCCCTGGATATTAACAGCGCCGAGCCTTTAGCCGAGAGGTAACGTCACCGATAAATGGCAACGTCATTATGGCAAAATGACTTCGTGCACGGAGGATTACTCCGTGTTCAATGCCGAATAAAGGCTTGGGACATTCTAACAGAAAGTGCTACTATTACAAGACGCTTCAGTCCCGGAGTATTTTCATTTTAAAAGAAGTTTTCAGTAAATCATTACATTTTATTGAGGATATAATTTCAAAATGCTTTTCAACTTTTAAAATTAAAATTCACAGTTATAATTGTAAATTTTACAAAGTAACTATAGTCGAAACATTTTAGCTTATCAATTTATGAACCTGAGTTATAAATGTTTTCATCACAGCCCAAGTGGATCATTTCAATTTTTATATTGTTCAACCGTGGATTACAGGTTTCCGACCCCTGATCTACAAAGACGTAGATCATGATACGTGATGCATGGGTGCTGTATTATAGAGTACATGGGAACATATATGGGAATATTTCTTTGTAATATCGCTCATTTGCTGCCAGGACTCAAAATTCGTCAGTAATTTATAGTAAGAATAAAGAGTACACTTTGGAGATTTTACTTCTGTAATTTTGGCTTACTTTTTTTTTGCAATACAACTGTTGTGTTGCTGGTGCACCACTGAATTTTATTGCGCGTTTCCTGAAAGAAACATTTCTTGAGTTCTGCAATAGTTGCAGAAAACGAACGACATGATTAATAATACGAAAAGATGTAAGGAATTCTAGAAAAGTAAGAAGGAAGATGTAATATGGATTGAGGATAGGACTGGGAAGAAATGAGAGAATTTACAATGGGGCGAAAGAAATAGAAATTAGTAGTGCTACAAAACACATTTTGTGGTCGTACTTGTGATGGACAGTGACGTAGTATTACAATGAAAAACCTAGCAGAACCCGTGGGTAAATTTCGTCCATTTGAACTCGATTGCACATGTTTTCGTGACTACAAAGAAGTTACTATATTTGGGAATCACCTAATTAATCGATCACAGATATAACCGGCATAAATTATTTAATGTGTGTACGAAACGTTCTGTTATTGAGTAGCGGTCTCTCTCTCTCCCTCTCTCTCTCACTCTCTCTCTCTCTCTCTCTCTCTCTCTCTCTGCCTGCGAGTATTGATGTTTCGTGCTGTAAGAGTATAAACTGGTGCACTGGTGCTTAAGTTTCTAAAATGCGGTATGTTAATGTGTATTAAATGAAAGTGTGTGTTCATTACTGAGGCATTATTACTGCTTCTCAAATACGAAATATAGAAATACAGAAATAGTGTATTAACGTTTGCATTACATCTCTTCGTGCTAAACATTCTAGAATCAGAGATAAATTGGTTATGAAGGGTAAATTGTTTTTCCTTCATTATAATATTATGATCTGCTGAACACTATTATACGACGAAAGGTTAGAATTTAAATTTATATTTGTATTACAATTTGAATAAATAGTTGACTCAATCCAATTATCACTACTTCAAAATATTTGTTCTTTGAAATGTACATATGATAGTCTGATAAAAAGGTGTTTAGGTTCTATAAAAAAATAAGTTTAAGGTTCAAAGAATTAAGAGTCAAAGTTAAAAAAATAAGTTCGATGATGAAATCTGTATTAAAATAAATAATACAAAATGATACTGAACAATAAAAGCCGCTTATTCGCTCAGTTCGCGGATGTGCAGTTGTGTCTCACGCGCATGTTTTGAGAAGTTTACTCCTTTTGGCAAAGACAACAGATACTAATTCTACGTCATAATCCACGTGCAGAAATAAGTTAATTCATACAGAGCGAAAAATGTGCTTTGCCGTGCAAAGTTCATTCCTTACCGTGTACGACGAGGTCAACCACAGCACTAAGGCCAGCGCCAATTCCGTTGCGGGCTTCGCAAATATATTGGCCTTGGTCTTCTTGGTTCACAGACTCAATAAAGAGGGATCCGTTTGGGAGAATAGCCATTCTCTCATTATGCATACCAATGTCCATATCTTTGAGAGTTTTGCTTTCGTGTGTGACTAAAGACTGATAGGCTTCCACCTTACGGCCTATGAAAGAAATTTGTATCACATGTACTTCTTATAGAAGGGTACATACGCCTACTTAAATATACGAGCATTCCTACTGTAAAGTAGTAATTTAAAAAGAAAATTAATTATAGGGTCCAAGAATTTAAAAGTGTATATTGAATCTTGTGACAAAATCCATGGAGTTTTGAAATATTTAACTCTTCGCGATAAAAAAGCCATATGAAACCGAAACGTTGTACGAAGTACTGATCGAAATTCGAAAACGATGTACTGATCTGTAAATTATATGACATTATTAGCGTATTAAAGAAAATGAAAACATAGACAGTTTATCTCCATGTATTTTTATGCATTGAATGTCGAATTTATCACAGAAAACAAAAAAATAAAATTAAATGTAAATTCACGTTCTCAGCTTCACGTTTCATATTTTCGAACAGTCCTGAATTTCCAAAAATATTTAACACTGCATAATGCTGGAAGTCGCAGTATTACTAATTGAATCATATCTTCAATAGCGATATATAGATATTAGTAAATGGGCGAAAGTGAGAACATAAGTTATGCACATAAGGCGGATTTTCACATGTAAAAATTTTCACATGTAGAAACTATTAACTATTATAATCGCTGTGTATTCGATCTATCGGAAGATTTCACATGTATTAAGTACACTCACACACTTCAACAATCTATTTTACAAGTTGCTGGCAGAGACTAAGAAAATGCATTTTTTATATTATAATGCATTTTATTGTTACGATAATTAAAATTAAAAATAGTAATAATAAAACAAAAAAATGTTCTAAATGCTATCGTCTTGGAAACACTTGCCTGATGCCTTTTTCCAAACAATGGTAGGCTGAGGAAATCCTTCTACTTTGCAGTCTAAAAGAGCCGGTTCGCCTAGTTTGGCGGATCCACTATGGGGCTCAACGACCCATGTTGGAGGCACTGTGAAGCAAATTTAACATGTACTATTTGCCACAAACAGAAAGTTTTCAATTTTTTTCTCAGTGTATTGCGTAAACAAATGCTATTGTCACAATATGGCGATAAATTATTTCTAAACTTTCATTATAATGACTGAAACATGGTCAAATTCCAGGATAGTGGTATCGTTACATCAATTCACACATGTGTAGTGTGACCTTGTATTTTATAAGTATATATTAGCCCAGGTTTTATTAAACTCGCCACACTTTCGTAGTTAGAAATGCAAAAAATTTGTTTCATAATAAGCTCTGTATATGAAGAAAAGCATTTGCTTACTGGGAAACGTTCATACAGTCCCTGAAGGAAAGAGGTAAATTTTAATTAGAGTAAAGGAAGCGAACAATAACGGTGTATTTTCCCAGGCTCAAAATATGTTCGCTCTTTTAGATAATAAACGAATGCATGACTTGCTTCAGAATTATTTCCCCAAACATCTGTACAAGGTGTTTAACTAGCACATAACTCGAGTAGAGGTTATTAACGATTATATAATTGATATAATTTTTCAAATATGAATACGTTATAAACGCAAATTACTGTAAAACGAATGTGATTAAATGAGCTAAAACTGAGCAAGATTGTTTCTGTATTCTCTCATTTATTACAAATGAGCGGTAAGTTGGCGCAATATTTATTAATTAACATACAAACATTTATTTGACATGTTGATCAGAAGCAGTTCTTACAGACAATTTCTTGATAAGAGAGCAATAAAGGGAAATTCAAAACGAAATAAAACAATCGCAAGAAAAACACAAATTACTATATTTTCCAACTACTTACAACTAAACTTTTCAATTACTAACATGTGGGTTCTAATTGTGGATGAAAAAATTCAACTTATCAGTTCTTAGGTTGATTATTTGATGAATGTTCTACCACAATATAGGTATTAAATGTATTGTGTTAATTCGCAAAAAAACATAATAAGACATGAAAAAATAAAGTTCATGGGTGTAAGAAAAGAAAAAAAACTTAGAACCGAATTTTCTTTACAAATGTTATCGCATATGGCAGATGACATTTCAGTACATCAATAACTTGCTCAATTGGCATGGAAGGCAAAGTTGATAACCCAATTAAGAACGGAACAATTATTTCTAATTGGGAAGCAAGGGATATGTCATTTCTACAACTGTGATAAATGACATTCACATCGCACATTTTAAGTTATCACAGACATAAACGCTGCATAATTCCACAATACATTCTCTCAGGCAAACAAGATAGTGCAAAGGTTTTTCGAGCCAGATCATGACACTACTTTCATGTAATCGCGTGTTTTTATTTCCATATGTTGATGTATCGCGGCAACTTGCTTCTTATTTTGCATTCATCCCATAACTGAATACACTACGTTTCGTGAAGTGTGGGCCAATGTCTTTTACAATGAATGTGAAACACGTCAAGTTAAAGCGCCAAACGTATGAATCCCAGTACAAACAGTTTGGGAAAATTCCGCACGAAAAACATTCAAATGCACGTGCTTCGACAACTTCCTTATCTCTCTCTTTGGTAAACTGAAACGAACTGCCTGACGGTGTTTCAGACGGAAGGAGCGGCGAGGGAGGAGGACTGAGAAGAAAAGAGTGGCCAGAGGTTGCAGTAAGGCGTGCCAAGGCGTGGAGGGCGCCAGTCAAGCCAAGAGAGACCTGTGATGTAGTGGCCACATTACATCATAAGCGAAACGAGTTTTACATTCTATAAAAAGCGGAATGCAATTAATGAAGCATTTAGCAATATTAGATAATTATACAGAATCGCTAATTGAGAGAAAATATATAATTCCAATAGCAATATTGTTTCACTCCCATTAATTGGTATAGTGCCGCGATGAGCATGATTATAATTACGAACATTGTGATAACAAGATTGCTAACCTGGAGGTTCAAAACCAATGAGCATGCCTTACTAAAAAGCGGGTATAAACGAAAATTTATTATGCAGAAATGGCTAACAAAGATTTCAAAAACCAAAATTAAAATACTCGATTGAGTTTTTTATGTTATTCTGAGTACTCTTAAATAAAAAATGTAATTTATCATCGAAATCTTGCAACAAATTCAAGTATTCATAACATATTCGTAGTAACAATACAATAGTGACACAGATGCTATATAATGTTGCGGACCTCACATCATGAGGCTGTAGCAACATTTAGAAATTCCATGGGCTGCAAAATGAAACACATAAAAAAGGAACATTACGTTCCATACACATGTTAACACACACACATACAAAGCAAACAGTATTATTACGTAAACGAATGACATGAAAAGAGAAAAAAGCATACCATTAAGCATGAGGTTACCTGCACGGCTGGAAGAAGTAGTAGCCTATATGTCAACCGCAAGTCATCCAAGGCGGTGATAGTCAATACACGCACAGCTATCACATTCCTGGACTGCGAAAGCAACGCAAGTAACGTACTTGTGCATGCATGGGAATAGGGGGACGATGATAGAAGGGAATGCCCCTATGGCATCTTCGACACTATCTTTGGTCACTCTTTGCATAACAGGCCTGCTCGGGTCGATGGCGCATATTTGAATTATCTTAATGTGAGCGGAACAGAATGACTGTCAATCATTAACTTGTCAGAGAAATGGGTCGTTAAATACAGGCCGCTATCTCATTTGTCAATTACATTTCATTAAATCCAATGAATATCGTCACGTAACTCACAGTAGAGGACTGCAGCATCGAGTGCAACATGCTTCGTCCCAGTCGCAGTTGTGGAGTAGTGCGAAGTGCCATTGAGGGGACGAACTACCAGTTTGTTAGTTACCCGT